CCCCCCCCCCCCACCCATGCACAAAGAGAACACATGTTCTTTAAGTCAGTGACTCAAAGTTTATTTTGGTCAAAGAAATAAACCAGTATAGAACAAAACAATTAACAAACTGAAACTAAAAGTAAAAGAGAAGAGCCAAATATAAAACACAAGCTAAAGGAATAACACGGAGCACTGTTATTGCTATTATTACCAGTCTGTGTCTCTACAACTTAGAAACAGAGTGTTATTTGTCTAAAACTAAGACATAGAGCTAAAATTCTAAGATAGAGGTAGGTTAAAATAAATGAAGGACATCTGTCTATATATACTTATTTAGTGTTGTTCAAAAGTTTGTCCCATTTTTACTGTATCGAGGGTTGGGGATTAGTCAGCGTGAATCTTATCTTGCTGGCAGCATAACAGAATTTGGCAACATCCAGAGAGATGGTGTCCCTTTGATCAGAATGCAGAATTTGTATGTAGAAAGTATTGGAGTGACATGGGCATTTTGCAAGGTGACGGGAAATAAAAGGGATTTTAGGAACTGTAGAAACACTCCAGTACAGTAAAATGTGGGCAATAGAGCCTATGGTGCCTGTATCTCATGGACAGAGTCAAGTATATGAAATTTCTTTATCTACTTTCCAAATGGCTGAAGGAAGAGCATTAAATCAAGCCAGGGTTAAAGTCCTTCTCAGTATCTTGGATACCGTAAAATGGTTTAAGTATCTTGCCGGTCTGAACATGTAAGATTGGCTTCTCAGGAAAACATTCCTGGGCAGTAGGCTTGTTATCTTTCTACATGCAGAAAGATAACAAGAAGTTCCTGCAGAAAAATAACATCAAACTTTCTGATGTAATTCATAAAAGAGGTGTCACTGCTTTTAATCTTTCACTCCAGGAGATGGCCATCAGTGGATGAGAAGCAGAAGAAAGTCACTGAGGTCTCTGTGGGTCTGCTTCTCCATGTTGTTCCTCTGAGAGGTTTGGAGGAGGTATTGTGGTGCCATCTTGGGATGTTCCAGAAGCAAAATAACTCAGAATCAAAGAATTTGGATCTTCACTGGTTATTTATTATCTTATTTTTTTCATTTGGTTAGGACTTCCTTTGGCTTCAGATTCTCTAATCCTTCTTTTCAAGGTTTGCATCTTTTTGCCAAAGATTCCAAAGTCCTCAGGACCTCAGGGGTGTGGATAAGATGGACAGCTTGGACCCTTTTCAGTTTCTGGGACAGGCAGATCATTCCCTTTTACCTTTTCATGTTGGTTTTCATCCTCTAAGTAGGGGTATTGTATTGAGGTGTTCAGTGTATCATAGGTTTTTGTTGCAGTCGTCTTGAGGGGGAAGGCAAAGTCAATTAATCGTGCAGCTATTGCACACGTTGATGCCAACATGTGCCCAAGATCTTCCAATCTCTTTAATATTTCCTCCTGCTCTTCAGCTAGGAGATCCCCAAAAGAGTGAGTAGGTTCTGTTTCCAATGGTTCAACTGTTGCCTTCTTTTTTTATAGTTATCTGGAATGGCTTCTCTATGAAGTTTACTTTCAAGGGCATTGCTGGTGTAGTGTCCACCCGTTTCTCTACAGCTGTATTTTTATTTTTCAGTGTTGGAAGACCAGGAGCATTTCATTGAAGTAAATTGAAGAGTGGAATCATTATCTCTCCATGGGAAACTAATTTAGGAAATTTTAAGAAGATACTCAAAAAGGTGTCATGTTGGGGATTGTGGGGTGTTTGAAAGTCAGCAGAATTCTCTCGCTACCAGTTCTACTTGGCATCTACTTTACCTCTAATACATCAATCATGTATTGTTGGCAGTGAGGAGTTGACTCAGAGAAAAAAGAGCATCTTTGAATCCCATTGGTTTCCATTAAACCTGTTTTGGGTGATGTCTAAGGCACACTGATCCCAAGCCCAGGTAAATGGGGAGGACTGACAAAAGACTTGTTGACCTACCTTGTAAAAACCTCGCCAAGAAAAATTTATGGAAAGGCTCTCAAATGATTCAGATATGGTGCCCAATGGTAGGACCTCCAGGCCAGAAGGTACCCAACAGGCTACTGGGGAAGAGCAAGGACCTGTCAAGGCATTAATGATGCACCTAAGAAATCTAAAGTCTTATCCTTGGGCTTCTCTCCAGGTCTTCTACTCAGCATGGGATATGATCAGGCCAAAGCACTCATTAAACAGTGTTAGCAGATACAGAGGGCCAAATGGATCTAGCCAGGTCCCCATACTTTATTCCCAGTGAATCCAACAGGCATCCTGCCTCCCCTGTGACATACTTAACTAAACATGAAATATCTAACCACCAGAGGGCCTTTACTCTGGCACGATGCCATGCCCTCCCCTCAGGTGTCCTTGAAGGCCGATCCAAGACACGTCTTTTCCCATAGAGACAATGCCCGTGACTCTGGATGCACAGAAACCAGAGCATGTGCTTTTCCAGTGCCTGTATTACAGAGACATTTGCACTAGTCTCATCTCACCATGATTGTATCAATTTCCAGGGGGCACAGGACAATTCTACACCTCCCTGCTGCTTTCAGATACCAACCTTGCCACAACAAATGTTGACAGGTTCTGCACAGCAGTGATTAAAATTGGTCTGATGATGACCTGTGCTATAAATTAGTCTCAGTATCTAGTTCGTCATACTAGAGTGCTCTGTAATTTGATATAGTCTGCCATATACTAACCTTTATGCTCCTTTACATCTATCTAATGCTCCTACCCCTCCTTGTAGATTCCTTTTAAATATATACTTTGTTTTATATCTTTTAACTTTTTATAATAAGCATAATTATTTTTTAGACTCTGATGTATTTTCTATGCTTTTAATTGACTGTACCTCACCCTCCTTATGCTCGTCTTTGACCATAATAAAGATTTAACGCTATTTCAGATTCAGTTTTCTTCATCTCAATTCCAATGCTTCTTTCATCCATATTAAACCTCTCTTTCATTTGAATATAAGAAAACCATTGAAAAGAATGTCCTGTCACTGATTGTCCTCTTGTCCTCATCCTAATTACTTCTTTATCTTGTATTAGTAAGTCCTCCTATTTTAACTGTTCTCTATCGGCTGTGTCTCTTCTATAACAAGCTTACAGTGTGGATACCAGTAATGATATTTTTGGACACAGACTGGGTTTATATTTATTCCACGTTCTTAATAATGTGTTTCTTAGGTAATGATTCTTTAAATCTACATTTGCTTTCATTTTGTCATACCATGAGAAACCATGCCAGCCAAATCTCAGATTGTGACCTTCCAACATTCCCTTTTTTCTTAATAATATCCATTCCTTCATCCATATTAAACAACATGCAGCAAAGTACAGTTTGAGATTAGGTACTCCTATTCCTCCTCTTTTGTAATTTTACAGGGTATCCTGTAAAAAAGAAAATCCTGTTCTTTTGCAATTTTGTATTTTACAGGATATGTCCTGCTGTTTTAGACTAAACTCCCTCACTGGGAGGGATGCTGATGGAGTACAGGTGGTCCTTGGTTAATGACCACTTGTTCAGCAACCGTTCAAACTTATGACGGTGCTGAATGAATGGTACTTACCGCCGGTCCTCAAAATTACGATGGCACTGAACGAGTGGTACTTACAACTGGTCTTCAAAGTTCCAGCCATTGCAGCACTCTGTGGTCATGTGATTGCAATCTGGGCACTCAGCAACCAGCCTGGATTTCTGACGATCTTACCATCCTGTGGTCATGTGATCACGATTTGCAACTTTTCCTGCTAGCTTTCCAGAAGCAAATCAATGGGAAAACTGGCAGGAAGTTGGAACTTGTGGTCATGTGAGGTCCTTGCTTAATAACCAGGGACTGCCGTAGCTGCTGTCCCTAAGCATTGTGGTCATGTGATGTCATGCTTTATGACCATATCACTTAGCGATAGAAATTCCAGTCCCAGTTACATAGTTAAGTGAGCACTACTTGTAAAGTATTACAGAGTTGGTGGATTCTAGTCCTGTGATTTCCCTGGTTACACAAATATGTAACCTGTGCTTCCCTCTTACCCAGATTTTCTCTGCCAAGCAGAAGAGCATGAAAGCAAAAAACCCCTACAAACAAAAAAAGTGGTTTCCAGAATGCAATGATTGACGAATGAAGAAAGCAAATGATCTATTAATAAGATTAAATCATTTTTTTCACAAGTTTCTTAAACTTTGAAATACCTTTTTAACTGTCCCTAGGTCAAACTCAATGAAAGAATCCTAGCAACTCAACAAGGGCTTTTAATTCGCTCAGTGCGGGAAGCTGACCGTGGACTTTACCACTGTATTGCAACAGAAAATGGCTTCAAGCAAACGATAGCCAAAGTTAACTTCAAGGTTTTGGATTCAGATACCGTGTCCTTCATGATTGAAAAGTGGTCTCCGTGGACCTGGGACAGTTCACTCCATGCTTTGCAGTTTCACCCAAAGGACCTGGCTGGATCCTTCAGTCACTCAGAACTGCAGATGATTAATCAATATTGCAAAGACACACGGCAACTTGGGCAGCAGGCTGAAGATCCCCCAAAGATGAGAGGGGACTATGGCAAACTAAAGGCCCTTCTCAACAGCCGGAAAAGCAGAAACCGCAGAAATCAGTTGCCTGGGTCTTAAGGGCTGCCCTCGGACGTCAAACTTCTTCTTTGTCACCACTGTCATCTTGTAGCCTCGCTCAAGGGATTCATTTTTATTTGGTGGTTTTGTTTCTCTGCTGAGAGTAGAGCGAAACAGTAATAAAGCACATTCTGTAAAAGTTCAGGACACATAAACCGTGTAAGCTAGAAACAGAATAACGAAGACCAATTCCAAAGAGATTTCAGTTGGGAAGCAACCTATTGACTCCACCTTGCTTTCACTCTCTAAGTCTGATGATGAGCACAAAACAGAGAGTATTGTGCCATGTTTCAATGTCAGCTTTGTTTTCTTAATACGGAAAACAGATGACGATGCACTGAATGTTCAGCTTGGAATAATGCAAGGTGGGAAGAAAGAGTGGTGAGGACAGAGCTGGAGTTATAGGCACATACATACCCCCAAAACTAGACCCATAGTATCAAATGAAGGAGAAAAGCAGCATGAAAATAAATGTTTGCCATTAAGCTTCATAGGGCCCAGGTTTATACTGATTTATTAATTTCATAGCACATTTTTTATTTAGAAGCTCAAGGTGGCATGCATAGCACTCCTATCTCTTTTCTCACACAACTCTATGAAATAGGTTGGTGGAGAGAGTGTGCTGGCCCAGAGTCACCCAGGGAACATCTGTGGCTGAGGGAGGACTAGAAGCTAGATTGCCCTCTTATGGTTCTACACTTTCACCCCCACACTGGGTCTCTAGGTTCCCCGTTACAATCTTTGCTAGTGACAAACTGGACAGTTGCCTGTACTTTGGAAACCAGGAAACTCAGACTCACTCACCAAAACTAGCACCACCCATTTGTGAGATAGAATCCCACCTATCTTGAGGCACTGCCAAAAATGTTAACATCTGCCTATTAAGATGCCTTTCCTTGGATTACACCCAATATCTTCCCACAACACAGCAACAAGAGACTATTTTGCAAGTCTGTGGCACAGAGGGAGGGTTAGGGGAGCTTGGGGTGGTGTGGACAGAAACCCACATAATCAAACAGGCCTTTTTGGTAAAACTCTTTACTAGCAATTAATATTCTACAATTATTGACCTTTCTTCCTCTCCTTCAAAAACAGTCACAGCTTTTGAAGACAAAAACAGGAGAGCTCTTTTCTTCAGAGGGGTGGGAAGCAAACAAAAAACTCGCACATTATTTTCAAGGGCAGGATCAGCCTAGCACTCCATAACTTCAGTTCCCATTCTTCAATTTCCAATGTACTAAGAATCAAGGGAAATGGTGGCGTGGTTGCATAATCAGTAGAACAAGCTCAAGTCCAAATTGAAGTTCCATTTTGAAAAGGGTGAAAATGGGATTTTATTCAGAGAGCTGCAGAAGTTCAGGTTTCATGCCAGTCTTTCTGGTGGTATGAAAACAGCTCATCTGAATGTCCATTGGCTTTTGGTTGTGAAGAGACTTATCCTTCACTGGCCTGGCTGTATTGCAGGCTTCTTCTCCAGGATATTTGCATTTTACAGAGCACAGCCAACAACACCATGAAGGCAAGTCTAACAATCTTCCTTTGCTTCAGACTGGAAGAAAAGGTGGCCTTCACCAGTAGCACCCTGCAGACTGAGAAAAGAAAAGACCACAAATGAGTCAGATAAATCCAGAATAGTTGAATGATTGATTGAGATTTGATTTCTCTTGGAATGCATCTTAGGATCCATATTATTTATTTCTTCCTAAACTTATGGAACCAGAGCCATAGTTAAGCCATATTTATCTTCCAGTTGTTGGGAAGGATCAATAACTGGAAGCCCAACATCAAAGACAATTGTTTATTTCTTGGCCAAGAGGCAAGACATGTTTCAAAGAAAGTAATCGCTTGGCCATCACATTATCTGTAATCTCGTCCTACCCTTAACCCCTTCTTGAAGGTTGGTGTTAAGACCCTGACCTTTCCTTTGCCCAATTTATTTTCTAGCAAAATATATTGACCAACATACTTTGCATCCAAGCCAGGCCAGATAATTTTAATAAGCATGATTTTGATCAATAGGGAAATAGAATAATGAATTATACTACTTAGTATTCAAAATGCTGAGTGGTTCCCCAAAGTAATCTCACGTAGCTAAATTAGTAGCAAGTATTTGCAACTATAGAGAGTATCTGCAAGTGGCTACCATATTCATTTTCTAAATGCCTGTCCGATGATGCTGTAAGAATGTTGTGGCTACTAAATCTGTGAAATGGCACCACACTCAGCATTTTAAAAAAAAAAAATTGATCTCACATTAACCTCATCATGTCAGCTGCTGATTGCAGCTTTATTCTCACACATCAATTTATAGGCGGCCAGTTTTGATAACATGTGATCATGTGCACATGTTGTGATCACAGTGATGTGCACATCACATCAAAGCCACACCTTGATTTGCTACCCATGCAACAGGAAAGCATAGCAAATTAGAGCTCCTTGATTAATGCTCGGTGCATGTGTGGTAATACAATTCATTCTTGCATTCAGTATTTACATGCGCAGGTTTAGATAAAAAGATTCTTGTTTGTACCTTTGCTCCAGAGTAATGCAACTGCAAATCCAAAATCCCTATTTGCAGGGACTTTAGGGATCCAAAATCCCTATTTGCAGGGACTTTAGGGATCCAAAATCCCTATTTGCAGTTGAAGGACTGGACATATACCTTGGGATATATCTTCCAATGGTTAGGCTCAGAAATAAATTGCATCCAACATTCAGGTGAACAATCAGCTAAGCTTTTCCAGCCTCTGTTATGTATGGAGTGAGAACTTGAGAGTTTATGTTTACAAATACACTGTTGAGAGCAAAATTGCTCTCTGTCACAGCACCTGCCCTCCGCAACAGCATTCTCCCAGAGGCCTATATGGTTCCTAATGCTTAAGAAGTCCTTGAACACCTGGCTGGTTCTTGGGTGTGAAGCTCCCATAAGAATTTTTCTGTTAGTTGGAATGTTTGCCTGGACATCCAGTGCTCTTTTCTTGTTTTTCTTGTGCCTCAATATTTTTAAAATCATAGGCCACCCAGAATCCAGTGGAGCTGGGTGAATTTCTGAACAACTAATTAATTACTGGTCTAATTTCCAAACCTCACTTACTTATTTGGGACTCTGTCCTCTGCATACAAAGAAAGCAATGAGGAATCCCAGGAACATTACAGAACCAACGATAATTAGCAATGTTTGAATTAGGTGCAGCAACTTGACCTTGCTGGTCACTTTTGATCGGAAAAGTTCTGCTTGTTCATCGCCGATAATAGCCGTCTGGAGAAGGAAAGACAAAGAGCTTGCAGCATCACGTCAGCAGAAGAATACAGGCCTGAATACTCAGCAACAGCGATCCTCTTCTCTAACCCCAAATAAGTATTTATGTATAGCTTTGCATAAAATCGTGTACTGTGGCAGGAAAGAAAGCTATTGCAAATAACAAACTGATATTCTGTCACAAGTTGGAAAAGCAGCAGAGAGAAAAAGACCAACATAGCAAGGAACTGAGGTCTGGACAAGCCTTACATCTGGCTTAATAAAAAAAAATGCAAGGATCATGGATCCTGTTACTCCCTGTGTGTTTAATAATGTGCCTCTTCTGTCACATTAAAATTTACAGTTCAGTAGTTACTTTTACAATGCTTCTTTTTGGCAGGGAGGGGGAGAGGAGAAGCACTTCTACAGCCCTGGAGTTTCAAGAAATGTGCCCCCTCCCCCAGTTCAATGGATAGCAATGAGAGGAAAACCTGTCAATGGGTTGCTAGAACGATCAAGTATCGTATCTTCAAATTCCACCCCTGCAGTTAATAGGATAGCACAGCGGCAAGAAGAAAGCAGAGCAACATCTCCCTGATGCCCAAAATGACTTTGTCCAGAGGGCATTCTAAACCTATATGCCATCCAAAATGATACCATTCAGGATTTTCTTGCTTCCTTCCATATAAATGGGGTTGAGAAATTTTAGGGGAGGGAAAGCCGCAAATGATTGGGAAAGGAGAGAACGAATGAGACCAGAAGGCGCTTCCTACTGGCTTCCTTCCAGAGGAAAGCAAGACCAGGTAAGGAGAGGACCTCTGGAATTTCTCACAGCTCAGAGAATTGGGATG